TTTAAAACGACAATTTTAAACTTACCTTTTGTCTGCCTGGGTACTTGAACTTTGCACGACGCAGAGCCTCAACAACAGCAGCCTCCTGGTTTTCACGGGCACGCACCGACATTATTGGCTGACCAATGTGGACTCGTGCAACTGTTCCTTGGGGTTTCCCAAAAGCTCCTCTCATACCTGTCTGAAGCCTGGAAATATGCCATATACATGTTTAATATGACTACTTGAGATTCTAAACATTACTGACCCTAAAATCCCACATTATCCCTGCAGTCAAAAGCCTTGCTTATCTCAGAATCCACCAGTGTCATTTCACAGATGACTAACAGCTAGGACACACCAACACCAGGTTTAAAGGGTGCCTTTCGCGGTTCCAATATATTGGTTAATTCATTAAGTGCCTTTTATGAAATCCCTGTCAATTAAATAATTCTTCCTCCCATCTCTCTCCATCTACAGCAGAAGTTTGTAATGTTTGTCCACTTCTGTACTGTTGGTTTACATTCGCTGTACACATATTTGCATCATCTACACAGATGGATCCGTGAAGCGCGGGTCAAAGTCAGCATGGGCATACACAGCGCAAAGAATGTGGAAAACAATACATGAGGACAGCGGCGCTTACCAGACAACCACATCAAGCATGACGATGAAAATAGCCGCTGCTTCTAGAGCTTTAGCGTGAGTATCCGAACAAACCGCCACACAGGCAGTAATTGTCTCAGACTCAATGAATATGCTTCAAAAGATAGCAACAGGCAGTATGCGCTCTGAATGGATAGAAAGCATTTGGAAATCGCACTTAACCTCCACAACCTGGATCTACACACCGGGTCATGCGGGCATAAAGGGAAATGAGCGAGCGGACCAACTGGCAAGCACTGCAGCAATGATTGCGGGGAAAAAGCATAGACAGAGCAGTTATCGTCAACACTGTACGAACTGGGCTAGTGGAGAATGAGGAATCCGTGACACTAACACGATTGCGTGACATGGGAGTTAGGCATGGTAATGCACGTCTTTGCCGTCTTCGGGGCCGAGAAAGGAGACGATATAACCAGCTTCTCATAGGGACAATTAGTAGAAGTACTTTGGAGTGGCTGCTGCTTCGGAGAACTGAGCACGCATGGGTATGCCCAATGTGCAGTGACAAGTGTGATAACAAAACATAAAATATCCTGTAGGGAGTCGGCAGTCCGAAACCCTCAAGTTTAAAGTGTCTCTGTTAACGATGGCAGGCGGGTTGTTGTAGGGGCGACGCCTGCTGGTGGATGTAATGTACTAAGTCCCTTTCCCAGCTAATAATGAGGGTACTGCTGGGGTGACTGTTCATTAACCCTCATAAAATGCTTCAGGTCAAAATGGACGCTAGGCACTGCCACCTTTTTCTCCAGACGGTGGCCGTTGCATTTTTGCTTCATTTGTAGAATAGAAGGATATAGTTTCGTCGCCCACCTTATGAGTTGAGTGCATGGCGTGACACTGAGCTACGTGTGTTTTTCGTTGGCACAGGAGCGGAGCAACTAAGGTGTGACCCGTTTGCTATGAAGCTGAAACTAGATTACCAGATTACATTCTTGCATGAAAAGTTCCTTGCCTTGCCTCATGGTCAGATGTACTTCAAAGGAATCTCTCACTTCCATGTGTACGTCTGTTTTACACATCTGCCCCCCCCCCAAGAAATGCCCTTGTTTTTTTTTATAAAACTGCTGTAGTAATTTATAAAGTGGGATTTCACTATTATGAGTGTTTTAATATGAGATGCTACAATAAATTACAGAAAAGTAAGAATGCTAGTACTGACCTATCAGCTCCAGCGCACGACAACATCTTGTTAATGCGGTTGATGTGGAAGGGGTGCAAACGAACTCGTAGGTGGAAAGCATCTTTACCACAATTCTTTACCAGGTATTTGTTGGCACAGATACGACCAGCTTCCAAGGCTTCAGACGAGAGCTGTTCGTACTCGTCAGAGATCATGTGCACGCAGAGGGGAAACTCATCCACTCTGGCTCTCTTGCGGCCCAAATCAAAAATTCGGATCTTTGGATCTGAAAAATCACAAAAAAAATATTTTGCAATGTGTCATGTATGAAAATGTTTTACTCAACCAAGACAATGAATTGTTTTCACTGTCAGGGCATAAGCTGCAGTTTGTTTGCAAGGAAATACTTTTATGTGGAGTAAAAAGTAACCTAAACTTGTTATGTTACGTTTAAACTGGCATCTTAATTGTGGTATCATTATTGGACATCCCCTTGTTTTCTTGGCATTCAATAGGAAAGGGGTGATTTGCGTATATTTGTTAATTCAAATTCGAGCAGAGAGCCACTGCCGTTGGTAGAAAACCCTCTAGCAAATACCAGCATAGGTACACATAGGGTGTCTTAAAATTACTATGTAGTGATCTGTTCTACACAGAATGTTTTGAAATACAACTGTTCTTTGTTAGGTGGTGGTAGGGGGTAAGATGGTTAATGAGGCCAGCAATCTGCTAGATCAACTCTGAAATGGCATTTTCAAGAAATGAACTTTAGGCATTTAGTCCAAAAAAAAAAATAAAGAGTAACTCTACCCACCCAGCATCCAGTTCTGTATCAAATGCAAAAGAATACAGCTTGGAATACAAACTTAAAATTAACGACTCACCAGGCACACCACGACAGAAGCGTGACTTGGGGTATGGCTTATTCTTGCAGTAACGATAGCTGAGGAAATAATGAAACTAGTTAAAAAATATGTATAGGCAGTTTTCACAATATTTAGTAAACCATAACATATGTGATAAATATCAAACTGTTGCACTCTTAATGCACAAATATGTCTGCATAGACAGGTTATGCAGAAGGATGTTAAGGAAAGCCTGGGTGAAAAAAAACAGACCATAGCACTTGAAGTAAGACATTTAGCAAAATTTGGCAGTGACCTATTAATTTTCTAGTGCAGGTGTTACTGCGGTGTATAACTTAGCATTCACACAAATACCTAACAGGGCCTAAGTCGTGTGCAAAATGCTCTGACTTCCTCCGACAAACACATCGCTGCACAACTTGGATTACTTTACAATTTCAAGAGACACAACACTACAGACAACAGCAAAATGCTGACTTCCTCCGACAAACACATCACTGCACAACTTGGATTACTTTACAATTTCAAGAGACGCAACACTACAGACAACAGCAAAATGCTGACTTCCTCCGACAAAATGGCGGAAAGGACCACGCACTCTAACGCATACTAGCGTCGCCCTCACTTTTCAGCAAAATATAGTTAAACTCAATAATGTATATCCCGCGCCTCTACTCTACACGCCTAATTTATTATCTCCATGAACTATCAGTGTTGATCCCCCTTCCTGTTGTAAGAAAATAATACAATCTTTCGCTTTCCAGCGGTCACAGCATATTTCAGTTTCCGGCTATCCTCAGAATAACGGGCACAAAAGATGGCGACAGCGTGTCAATTGTGCACATTCTGCGACTTAATTTGTGGTTTTTTTTTTTTAATATGAGCAGCAACTGCCGTATCTTCTGCAGCTTTTCTCATGAGTCCTAGCCATCTAGTTTAGCCCCATTCCACCTCGCGTGAGGGACTCTTGGCGGTGGCTGCCAGAAATTAAGTTGCCGAATGTGCGCAATTGACACGTGACTGTGGCCCTCTTTTTGGTCGCCATCTTTTGTGCCCGTTATTCGGAGTATAGCCCAGTTTCCTTATTACATGAAACAATTTACTTCTTGTTGTTTATAAGTCTTTGTCTTTCAAAAGATCTGAGTAATATATTAGGGAAACACATAAAATACAGGATGCATTGTTAACCCGTTAGTGAGTGTGTACAGTTTTCGCCCAAAGATCTGACCTGGGACTGAAAATTTTCACCAGCTTTCATTCAAGTATGACAGTGAAGGACATTTTGTGTAATTTTAAATGGCGATGTTAGAACCAAAGCAATCTACTTGATGCCTTTTACATTAGGAGGGTGGGTGTACCCCCAAATGGTGGCATGCAAGCACATGGGTGGTGGCGACATTTTAAAGGGAACTGCAGAGTTGTGTTCACTATTTTGCTGAATATCAGTCCTATATACTACTTAAGATCATTGGTTTTACCATATGAGAACATATAATTGAAGTTTAGTGATACTGATAACATTCATTAAGAGTAAAGAGGAAAACAAAAAAGTAATAGGCATTGGTTTTTTTAGCAGCTTACGCCCTGTGTATCTAAATCCTCTTTCATGACATTCAGTACTACATTCTAAAATACAGCAATGTTTAATCATTAAACTCAAATAAGCTAAATTTTTAGTTTCGGTTTTGAAAAGGAGTGGGGGGGGGGGGGGAGGGATCCACGACAAAATGGAATTTTGACATTTTCTAAAGAATGACAAAGATTCGCAATCAATTCCCATGTTTATACCATAGTAAAAACATTTTCTTAAATTCTATCAATACTGACACTTAAAATTATAACAACAGTGCTTATTCTACATTTTAAAAGTTATTTATTTAGCAAAATGTAATTTTGCTAAGTCATTCTATATAAACCATTTATTGTATTTTTTCCTCCAACTTACCATCTAGCAGGCCGGCGTCCCATTTTTGATCTGAAATACAGAATACAGTGAATTAATAACAACGGAATACAGTTAAATAGTATGCGAAATTTATATAAAAGTATAACATTTACAGTTAGTCCTAAAATAATACACGATGTTACACGATATAGAATAGTTGTACACCAGCTCGCCACTTACGGGTTTCTTCCACCGACCAGAACACGTTAAGGAAAAGACAGAGAGAACTCTGGGTAACCGGAAGCAGAAGTGGAAGGCCTTCGTCTTCAGTGGATGTACCTTGTCTGCTAGATTGTTGACGTTGTTTCATAATTTTATCTGTTTCTGCAAAACTTTTTCTCAGATTGTGGAATTAACACTTCCTGCTGATAAAGATTGACCATAATGAGTTTGTGGAAGTATCAATAAAAGCAAATATTCCATTATGAGTGGTAAGGAGACTTTTAATAAAGTTGCCAGTCCTTTAAAAAAAAAGGGATGTATTATTATTATGACTCAGTGGGATGTATGGGATATAAATATATACTTGCACTGGCGACTATTACAGATGGGCTTAAAGTTCTACAAGCTAAGTCATGTCTCAGAGTAGCCGCAGATAAGAAACACCTCCTGCGTGAAGCCCTAGACAGAGCTAAGGGTCACAGACTGAAAATAGGAAGGTTTTGGATGAAGCAAGCTAAAGACACAATTAATTATACATGTGTGTAGGCTTGATAACATTAGAGAGGAGTGGGTCTGAGTGTCCAGTCAAAAGTCAGATTTGTGTAGGATTTTGGTCACACTGAGCTGTGAGTGCTGGGAACGGCTAGCGGGCATTGCAGATCAGAAGTTTGACAAATGATTCATGACATTTCTCACATAGATGTGATAATCTATACAGATGGCTCTGTGTTGTGAGGCAGATGAAGCTCATGAGGGTTCTTAGCAAAAGTGTATGGACGTTGCTTAGTGCAACAAACATGGCATATGACACCACAACATCTAGTTTGAGAATGGAGGTGGAGGCAGTCATTGAAGCCTTTGGCTGGCTTGAGAATCAGCTGTACACACATGTTGTAATTGTAACCAGCTCACAGAGTATGTCGAGAAAGGTGGAGACCAGTATTCTCTGTGAAGAGTGGAAAGCATTGCTTCATAGCTCCTGGATAGTTACTGTCTTTTGGAAATTTCCCCCCGGTAATGTCGGTGTATTCGAAAATGAGCAAGCAGATAGAGTGGCTGGTTCTGCATAACTTGTTGGTGAATTGTTATATGGCAAGCTAGATGTTATAAGGGCCCTCTGGGGGCGAGTGAACGGTGTGGAAGCAAAGATATTTCATCATGGTCTGATCTCTGCGAGGAGTGACCAGTCGTGGTCTGATCTCTGCGATTAGTGATCATTCATGGTCTGATCTCTGCGAGGAGTGACCAGTCGTGGTCTGATCTCTGTGAGGAGTGACCAGTCGTGGTCTGATCTCTGTGAGGAGTGACCAGTCATGGTTTGATCTCTGCGAGGAGTGACCAGTCGTGGTCTGATCTCTGCGAGGAGTGACCAGTCATGGTCTGATCTCTGCAAGGAGTGATCATTCATGGTCTGATCTCTGTGAGGAGTTACCAGTCGTGGTCTGATCTCTGCGAGGAGTGACCAGGGATCTGGTCAACAGCCAGTTCTCAGAGGAAAGGTGAGACGTCTGCTACTGGTACTGTTGGAACTCTGCGCTTACTGCTGAAGACTGCTTGAGGGAATGTCCCTTGGGCTGTGATGTCATTTCTTAATTAAACATCACACATAAAATGTGGATAAACCATGAAAAGTGCAGCAAATGATGACAGTTTGTATGTAGCTTCAGTAAATAAAACATAAATTGGCAGTTAATAGAAAAACAACATGAACTAACAGAAGAATGGACTCTTATGAGGAGTTGAAGCTTGAACTGATGCCTGCAACATGTTATATGCTATGACTAGCACAAGATAGTTAGCAAATGAAATTCTTTTGAGTTATTAATTACTGGGGCTGCAACTTGGAGTGAATTATTTTACTATACATTTTCGTTCACTATTAAAATGACTAATTTCATAATCTGTAGTAATTTTGTCTATTACCCCTATTCCGTTTTTTGATTTTCTCCTCTTCTTGAAAAAGAACCAATGGCATCCTGTTCTCACAAATCTACCTCAGCATGTGTATCAGTCATCACCCACATGCACACATTTCCATATTGCAGTAGAGGCCAACCTTGACATCTTCCACTCATCCGCTACTCACCATAGAGGATATCTTTACGGATACCATCTTCAGAGTTTGTCCTAGCCATCTGAGCTTTCGAAGACTCAGCATTGTTAAAACTGTTCTAATATCAGTGTTTGTGAGTTAAAGATATACGAGCTTATCCAAAACTGTTTTGCAGATCATAATACCCATAAAGTAAAACACTTATTAAAAAGATGTAAATATACCTATGAGAATGCATCAGATAGCATAGCATGAATTCCACAACTGTCCAAAAAATTTATTTAGATAATCTGTACACTGAAAGAGCTCTTCTCTTCTGCTTCTGCTGAAAGTTCTGGTCGTTCATGCATTTTTAGACTGATTTTGTTCCAGAACTTTAGTTTTGTCTGTACATCCGTTTGACAGATCTGGCTTATTTGTATACAGACTGTTGGTTCCTTGCCTTTCAAGCAGATGCACTCCAACTTCGAAGGAACTTAAAGAGCAATAATTAATGTAAGTTAGAAAGATTTTTAACATCCATTGTATGACCAAACAGTGGATTATTTATCAAAATTATAATCCAGAAGATTTCAAAACCATATTATTGATTTGAGTAGTCTCCATTGTGAAATGGTTAAATGGTTACCTCTTGCTCTAAAGGGTGTGGTTCTTAAACGCAGGTGTTTTGGAGATCTGTGGGGATCCTCATTGGAGTTAGTACCTACCCACTTTGCTGAAAAATATAGTAATACATAAGTAGATTTAACTACAGTAAAAAAGGTGGAAAATGCTGTGGTATGGACATGTAATAAGATCTAGCAGCCTCTCAAAAACAGTAAAAAAGGGCTCGATAGAGGGGAAGAGGAGAAGAGGCAGACTAAGAAAGACCTCTTTAGAGAACTTGACTATTGGACAGGCCTTAGGCATGCAGCCATGAAGTCTATTGCATCTGACCGTCAAAGAAGGAGGGACCTGATCATACAGCAGCTGGTGAACCAAGGATATACAGTGTTTTGGGATGAGGATGAAAATCAGTAGACAGAATCGACAAGTTATTTTTTTTAGATTAAATGTCATTTTCTTCTGACACAAGGTGAGCTTCATCAGAGTGAGCGACAGACTATACTAAGCAGACTTCTGGATGCAGTCAAACAAGTAAGTGGGAACAATCCCCAGTAGTGACCTCTCTTGCAAATACCCATAAGGGTTTCTGGTAAACTTCTCCTTCTTCTTCATTCTTCTTCTCGTTCACCAGCTGTAAATTCCATCGGAAAGTTCTGGGTTTTTATCCACCTCTGAACTTTAGTCTTGTTCCAGAAACTGAAAGTTGCTTGCACGTCTGTTTCACATGTTTGGCTTATTTGTATGCAGACTTTTGGCTCCTTGCCTCTCAGGCAGATGTACTCTGACTTCACACTATGCCTCCAGTTAGTCAACTCCTACAACACACTAGGCAGTGGGTCTATTCTTGTTTTCCCTACTATGGGGCCACAGAATCCACACAGGAATTCTTGTAGACAAACAATGAACATTACTCTCTTTCACTATCGTTTTCTTTTAACCTGCTGCTTGTGGTGTGAAGCATTGCAAAGACGAGTTATGTATCATTTCCTTCTGTTGTTAGTTGTGTAGCTTGTGTTAATGTTATATTGTGTTTCTGTGGTGTCTCTTTTACTCCCTGCATAATCTCTTTCTTGGTTGACCTCTTCACCTGTAGCCTGCTGTTCTTATGTAGTATGCTCTGGCTACTGGCTGATTTTGTTAGATTCTAACCAGATGCCCAAACTATTTGATCTTTAGTGTTCTGTAAAATAATTTATCGGTACTGTGCCTACCATTGTTCTTAGTTCTTTGTCATTACTTGTTCTTTACTCCCCACATGTCTTATACACCTCATCTCACTTCTCTTTTACTGTTACTTTCACACTTATGCCTGTAACAGCCGATTCAACCCTTCTGTTTTATAATTGGAACATATAGTAATTATTATTATTGCTAATGGAATCCTTGGTTTAACCCTACCAGACATGAGGCCCTGAACCTAACTGTCCCCTATACCTGAGCTCCTGGGCATTAATGCGAAAAACCAACATGATATACAAAAATATTCGTTACATGCAAACAAGTGGCTAAAATAAGATGAAACTTGGAGACATTGTAGAAAATAGGCTTACCTTTTATCTAGCACCAATATTCCACCTTTGTGTGCCGATCCACTCAGGAGGATCACAATTGTTTCACAAAGTGAGCACCAGATGTTGCTGTTTGAGGGACACACCCCCTTCTCTTACTTCCGATCTATTTCTAGATTTATAATTTTCAAGATTCTCCTCATTATTTGAGCTGAATGTGTCACTTCAACTGTGAACGTATTCTTCATGAAATTATGACTCCGCAGAGTCTGAATAACTCAAAGTATTGATCACCTGTTGGACTGTGCCTAGACCTACTTTACTTTCCTGTCGAAGTGCTTGGTTCATCAGCCGCTTGTTTTATTGTGAATTTTCAGAATTTACTCACGTAAAACAACAAAATTTATCCAAACACACGTGGGTGGACATCTAGGAAGACTATCCATGAGATATGATTATGATTGGCTAGTTATTTTTAGTCTGTGATGCATCTTTTTCACGCACTACACAAATGGCTGAAAATTAGGGCCAGCGGTATAGTGTCAGGTTAAGAAATTCCTAAAAAATCTGGCCAGCAGTCTGGTAGGGTTAATCATCAATATCTTTGGAGTCTACTGTTTAGTATCTATGATGTTTGCCTGGAGGTCCTGATAGTCCTGTGCTCATGGTGAGTTTTTAAAATGTAACTGGGTTATGTTTTACTAAGTCTAAAATTTGAACTAGGAAATGTTCCAAGATGTACATGGGGCTGGCATCATATTGACAACATGACTTATCGAGTGCCATTTTGTCTATACAAATCTTCAGCTACTGCCACACGCCCACTACACCGCAAGGTCGAGAATCAGTTTTTTTTGGTTTTTGTTCCTTTTTTTTTTTCAACTAGCAGTTTTATTTTTGACCTGTTCTTAACCCTTTGAAAATATAATGTATTTGTTCATTTATTTCTGTGATCAGTATTGATATTGAATGTAGACAGTTTGAGAAGCCTTGATTTAATGGACAAACCGTTCTGTTATCTTTCAGTGTCAAGTTCGATTTGGTGGAAGGTCTGAGCTAGCAACAGACTTAGACAGCAGGTATGACTCTTGGCTGCTCTTTCTCTTTCTTCTCAACTCTTTCTCAAATTTAGTCAATAATTTCAGTAATTAATTCATTCTTCTATCCCATGATATATAACTAATATTCATAAAAGTGTGAGAAGAAATTCTAGTGGACAGATGTTTAAGTGCCGGCTACAAATTTAATTATCTCAGATTGTCCAAATTTTTACAGGAAAAATACCAGAAAACCCAGTTCAGCTTAGGTCTCTGTGGTAAAGCGATCAAGCTGCTTGCATCGCAAATTGAAGGTCATGGGTTCATTTTGCTGATGCAGCATTCAGTTCATGAGAGTATTTTTTTTACAGAGATCCTCGCTTGAATTACAGAGTTTGTGCTTTGTGCGACCTCTCAGGGAAGCGGCTCTGCTGAGTGAGACTGAACCATATGAGATAAAACCCACGACAGTGAACCACGATGACTACACCCATTACTACCTTGGTCTGTCGTGCGGTCCTGTGTGGGTAAGAAAGTCTAGATTTTGTAGGCAGAGAAGCTATGGGGGACCGGTGGCGACCTTAAACGCACAATCCTATTTTTGACCCAGACGGGACTCAATGTTTAGCATGATTGATGTCGAACGCAGAAGAAGAAGAAAGAAGAAGTAGGCAGGGAGCTGTAATATTTTATAAGTTAGCACCAACGCTTTTATTCTCGAAAAACATGCCATTACTCAGCTCAAAAAGGGTACTGACCACAGTAAGTTAGTAGTAGTAGTGCTTAAACATATGCCTAAGAAAAGATGACGGTACTGCTTACCGATGCATACCACCAAGAAACCAAGAAAAGAAGCCCTGCTTTGCATATTTGCCTGTTGGTAAAATGTTCTATTTATGTTTAGGGTCTCGTGTCTTTGCTCTGCCTGGGAGACAGCACTTCAACACGGCATGAGGAAGAACAATACAGCTCTGTCTGCTTTCAAGTAATTACCAGCATAATGTGTTGTTCGTTTAGAGCATAATTATCTTAGTCAGTCACATGTTACAAGGGCCTTCCCTGTCTGAGTTGTAGGACCACAAATTGGGGGGGGGGGGGGGGGGGTGAATACAGATCCACTCCCCCCCCCCCCCCCCCAACAAGCATGTCATAAAATCAACTAATTAGGCATGTCTCCTTTGAAGTCGTTGTGTGTCTGCCTTATAAGCAGGGAACCAGCAATCTGCATACAATTAAACCAGATCTGTAGAAAGGATGTGCATGCCAAACTCAAGTTCTGGAACAAGACCAAAGTCCAGAAGTGGATGAACCACCAGAATTTTCTGCCAAAGTTTCCAACTAGTGAGCGCTTAGAAGAAGACAGAAGTTCTAGGGGAAGCAAACAAATTGTAGGAGTGTACCTTACCAAGCATGTCATAAGAGATGAGTAAAAGAGGATTGGTCTTAGTGTTGGCTACCCCATGCTTTTTAAAAAAAAAAGATTTAGCAACAAAGCCAGCCATCTAGGACTTGTGTTCCACTAAAGGATACAGGGCTAAAAAAGTAAGAGTCATCCAAGCTACTGGCATGAAGCAGAAATGTATCCTAGGAAACATTGCACAGGGATTAAAAAGTGAAATCATTTCTCTTGGCGCTTTTTTCCCATTGGGAATAGTATCAGGCTTTTAAAATAAAATATGTTTATAAGAAAAATAGGTGTCTTTACATTTAGAATACTGGCCCCAGGAGGAAAGAACCAACATCTTCCATGAGTTCTAGTCTTAAAAGAAAAGATATAAATTCTTTTAAAGTTCTTCATCTGCGACACTCTAGATACATACCGGAGCTGCGTTAGCGCAGTTGACAGGAGGCTCACTTTTGAATCCAGCTGCGACTTGCTGCACCCACAGTGTCCAAAATTGGGCGGTTCCTGGGGTTTACCAAGCCTCTAGGAAATGGGTACCAGAGTTTACACTCTGGGGTAAATGGAGGAACATCGCTGTAGCTACAGAGTTACGTGCGGATGGCGACACAGGTGGACAGTTTCTTATCAGCTGTCCGTACTGGTGGCAGAGCACTTATAGTTTATAACCGTGTGCAATGACACTGGTTCACATCTCCCAGCTTTACCTTAACCTTTTAATCTAGACACATAAGTTATTCATCACTCATAGAACAGACATCTTTTCAGGTATGCTAAACTGGTAGAAATAAGGATGGACAATTTTGCCTTATGTAAGCAAAAGCAGCACATTATAGACTTTTTTGGCGAGATGAACAGTGTAACTGGTTTGTGCAGCTCCATCAAGAGGAGAGATGTTTGTGCTATTGGAGAACTGTCATTTCCAGACTGTCACGTGGCATTCTGCATACATGTCCAAACCGTCTCCATCTTGAATTATATCATATGAACCAGTTCAGTACAGTGAAATATGACAAGCACTACACTTCCCCATGTGGGTTGCGGGACCCCATTGTGGGAAGAACAAGAATAGACCCACTGCCTGTCCAAAAGCATGTTGTAAGAGTCGACTAATTGGGAGCTTCCTTCGAAGTCAGAGTACATCCGCCTGAGAGGTAAGGAACCAATAGTCTGCATGCAGATGAGTCAGACCTGTGAAATAAATGTGCACACTACACTCAGTTTCTGGAACAGGACTAGAGTCCAGAAGTGGAAACACAACCAGAATTTTTGACCGGAGTTTACAGCCGTTGAATGCGAAGAAGAAGAGCAAGAACTACATTCTAACTGGATGAGAAATGACTATATCAAGAATGAAGTTGTAATGGACCTAGTACTAACCTACATCAAGAGACAGCTGATCATATCATGTGGACATGTGTGAAGACTACCAGCAGATAGTGCACCACAGAGAGACATGTCACTTAGAATGAACGAATGAACAAACATACCTTTTTTTTTAAAAGGGTAAAGAATTGGACACGTCTAACATTCTGCCCTTCGAGGTCTCCCTCCGTTTTGACATCATTTCATTCGTACATCAAGTAAAATTAAAAATTAGCAATGGCATCAAAATAATCAATACAAGCATTAGAATGTGCACATTTATAGCTACAGTAAACCGTAGTAGTTGTAACCAATCTAGGGAAAATGTGCTCTATTTCTAACATGTGTTTTATCTAATGGAAGCTGGTCTAGAGGCCAACAACTGAAGTCATGGATAGATGATTGACTGACTGACTTTCTACCCCACCAGGACATCACACAAGCGATAAACACCTGATGACACAATGTGCCATCATGTGGGTGAGGATCACCATGGAGAGGTCCCAGAAACCGCGTTCAGCCTCTAGGCCATATTTATGGCCCGGCTATATTGCAGCCCCTGGCAAAAGCCAGAGTAGGGCTTCAAATGACGAAACAATTTCGTCCTAAAAAGGACGAGAAGTAATATTACATCAATATGGATAGATGAAATATCCAAGGCCTTAAATACCGGCATCTACATGGCACATACCAAGGCTTGCACTGATGCCTCTTCGAAACCTGATGCTGAAAGGCAGAACGGGATTAGAGGAGGAGAAGAAGAAGAAGAAGAAGAAGAAGAAGAAGAAGAAGAAGAAGAAGAAGAAGAAGAAGAAGAAGAAGAAGAAGAAGAAGAAGAAGAAGAAGAAGAAGAAGAAGAAGAAGAAGAAGAAGACATTCTAAAATATTTTGTATGCTTATTTTTAAATTCATAACAAGAAAACATTAATTTGAATTTTTAGATTAGTTTTAGTAAACACCAATGTTAGTAATGTCTTCTGTACCAGTGTGTCCATTTCATTGTATGTTACCATAATTTCAGACAGATTACCGAGAAATATGGTTTGCTGAAGGTGGCCAACTTGTTTTCAGATGCTAACAATCTTGAAACAGACCCAGGTAACTTGAAATATAATTTTTTCCAACCTTCTAATGAAAAGTAAGTCATTAGTGAATTTATCTTGTTGTTTTTAGTTTTCTCAATAATCAGTTTCCGAAGACTCAGGTGGCTCAGTCACACCTGGAAAATGGAGGTTGGTGCAGCCCATAAGGACATCCTGTACGGTGAATTACATTTGTGTAGAAGATGTTGAGGCTAGTCTCTACTTTGATATAAAGATGTGTGGAAGAGCAACATGAATGATACAGGCATTCAGATAGATTCATGGAACATGTTTACTGGAGGGGGAAAATCAGGAAGGGAATTAGAATGAAGGAAGAAATGATCGCAGAAAGGATGAGAGCTGACCATCTGAGGAGAATCACACTAATTACAAATGATGGCAACAACGGTCCTGAAATCACATGCTCTGTTTGTGGAAGACTTTTCTTAACACCATCAGGTCTTGCTAGTCACACTCACTGTTGCCATAGTCTGTCAGTCCCATGGCTCCTCATCGCGCAATATAACACTGTCATCTGGAAAGATGGTAGAATTGTCGTTGTCTTTGTCATCCTCTTCTTCATCTTCTTCTTCATCTCCTCCTCCTGCCTCCTCCTTCTTCTTCTTCTTCTTTTTCTTCACTTCTTCTTCTTCGTCCTCTTTATCTTCTTCTATGTCTTCTTCTTCATCTCCTCCCACTCCTCCTCCTCCTCCTCCTCCTCCTCCTTCTTCTTCTTTTTCTTCTTCTTCTTCTTCTTTTTCTTCTTTTTCTTCTACTTCAGCATTCCAACCCCTTGAGGTTCATGCTTGCAGATATCACCAGCCTCCATTTCTCTTTGTGATTGACCTTCTCTTTCCAACTGGTGGCTACAAGACTTTGTAGGTCTGCCTGTATGTTATCTCTCCACTGTCTCCTTTGTCCGCCTCATGGTCTTCTCCCAGTCATCTCTTTTATTCACACAGTTTCTCTCTCTCTCTCTGTTATTAGTCATTTTCTTTATATACCTATTTGTTGCCATCGGTTAACCTTCTTGATGGCGGTAATTAGTGGTGATTGTCTCAAAAGTCCCTTAACTTTCCTGTAACCACATGGCATGCCAAGGCAAGAACACAAACCCATATTTCTGTTGATCTTGCCAGTTGCTGAACCTTGACTGACTATATTTATCACAAAGCTCATGATGATTATGACTGCACATGTCACCTTGACCACGGAAGTCTCTAGTACCAGGAGCTGCATAAGTTCTTTACAATGTCCAAAATATGGGATAGGATGCTGTTTATGAGCCAGTTCTCCTCAGTGATCAGATCATGTATGATGTCAGTATTTTTTCATCTTTTTGGTCCATTGTCTTCTTAGAATTTGTCTGTAGCATTTCAGTTCAAAAGCTCCCAGATCAGAACTAATAGGGAAAAAATGCCACTGGTAGGGATTTAAACTAGGCATATGTTTTGGCGGGCAAGAGCATTGACTCATATCCCATCCTGGTTCATAGATAAGTAAACATAAAACAGTATGTAATCCTTTTTTTTTGTTTTTTTTTTGTTGTTTTTGTAGTTTTCTGGCATTACGCAAGAATGCACCTCTCCAGAGATGAGCTGCAGAGGTTCTCAAAGCTGAACCTGGTGAACACAGACTTGGGCCGAGGTAGAGCCTGGCTGCGGGCATCCCTGAATGAGCAGGCGCTGGAACGTTACATGCTCATGCTGATAGAGAGTGATGAAATGTTGTCGTAAGTCTAGTGTTCACAGAGATGTTGTCGTAAGTCTAGTGTTTACAGAGATGTTGTCGTAAGTCTAGTGTACACAGAGATGTTGTATGCCTAACATTTACAAAGTTGTATGTCTAATACTGATGGAGGTGTTGTTTTAAGTCTAATTTTTATCCTCTTTGTTGGTTTCCAGGGCCCCATTTTTGGGGGCACAAGAATAGACCCTCTGCCACCCTCTAATGAGCATATCGTAAAAGTTTAATTAGGAGTGTTTCCTTTTAAGTCAGAGTGCATCTGCCTGACAGATGAGACACCAGCTGTCTGAACAACACATAAGTCAGATCCGTAGAATAGATGTACACACAAAACAAGTTCTGGAACAAGGCTAAAGTCCAGAAGACGACGAACAACCAGGGCTGTCCGAGTTTACAGTCAGTGAACTCGAAGAGGAAGATGTAAGTCTAGTTTTAGTAGAGAATATGGAGATCCTGTTTATCTAGTTTTGAGAGAATAAGGAGATGATGTGCAGAGGTGAATGTTGTGTGAATGTTGTGTGTATGTCTGTGTCAGTGTAAGATGGGATATTGCAATAATTACTCCCCTTGTGGGTTGTGGATCCCAATTGTGGGGAAGTCAACAACAGACCCACTGCCTCCCCAACAAGTATGTTGTTAAGAGTCGACTAGTTGGAGGCTTGTTTTGAAGTTAGGGTGCATCTACCTGAGAAGCAAGAAATCTGTATACAGATAAAAGTCAGATCTATCAAATGGATGTGCACGCAACACTTAGGTTCTAGAATAAAACTAATGTGCAGAGGTGGACAAACACCCAGAACTTTCCACAGGAGTTTACAACCGGTGAACACAAAGAAAAAGAAGAAGTACAATTTACATATATAATTGCTTGTATTTTTATGTGTATACATTTATATGTGGAGGCTTCTATGATTTGTTTTCCACACTTCAGACTTTACTACGAGGACTGGGCTTTTCTCCGTGATGTGGAAAGGAACAGCATGTTACCAGTTATGGCTGCAGGTACAGTAGGGTATCATTTTGTTTAGTAATTAATGTTAGCCTTTAAAACGGCAGCAAGGCATGATCAGTTTACGTGGGTAAGCGCTGGCACGTAACGATTACAGTGGGTAGGGTTCTCTGTGTGGGTTCCAGCCTGATTGAGAGAATGCCCGTGCAGCTAGCATCGAAGTACTGGTAATGGGTAGCTTTCACAGGTTACAGTTTCTTTATGAACATCAAAAGCAGGGAGCGAGCATTCTTTTCACTATGTCAATACTCTTAACAAGCATAAGATGCTCTGCAAGACGCTAACTGGTGGTGTATTTGTAGTAAATAGTGAACATTAGTAATAAATAGTAGTGGGAAGTGTAAGCTGTGATCACAACCGTGACATGCATGCCTCGTCAATGCTTTAAAAGGCTCAGATTGTGCATGAAGGCTCAGAGTGTGCATGAAGGCTCAGAGTGTGCATGAAGGCTCAGAGTGTGCATGGAGGCTCAGAGTGTGCATGAAGGCTCAGAGTGTGCATGAAGGCTCAGAGTGTGCATGGAGGCTCAGAGTGTGCATGAAGGCTTAGAGTGTCCATGAAGGCTCAGAGTGTGCATAAATGCTCAGAGTGTGCATGAAGGCTCAGAGTGTGCATGAAGGCTCAGAGTGTGCATGAAGGCTCAGAGTGTGCATGAAGGCTCAGAGTGTGCATGAAGGCTCAGAGTGTCCATGAAGGCTCAGAGTGTATATGAAGGCTCAGAGAGTCCATGAAGGCTCAGAGTGTGCATGAAGGCTTAGAGTGTGCATGGAGGCTCAGAGTGTGCAAAGTGAATGAACAGATGATAGTTTATGTGACTGGCTTGCTGCAGTTGAAACATGAGTAAAATAGTAAAAAAAAGTAAAGATCCCTTTTCACGCCTTTCGGCGCATCGGGCATATGGGCAGAGTATCCCATATTTTTACAGACCATCAGCACTCTGTGGGTAATGTGGTCAGCATTACGCCGGCTGTCTTTACTTTCCCAGGACAGCCCATCCTGGTACCCATTTTAGGCTGGGTCGACCTGCGATGTCCCATACCACGACAAAAATCCACACAGCCTGCAGTGGGTTTCGGTCGCGGTATGCTGGCTCACGAGTCGGACTCGCAACGCCTTAGCCACGGACGCCGCTGAGTAAAATAGGGATGTATTATATCTCCTGTTCTCTGGTACAGGTTTTGACTGGGTGATTAAAAAATATTCTGTTAGAAACACGGTATTTATATATAGGCTTAATTAAAATAGAACAAACAGTTGCAAATCTATCCTCTGCTTTGTAGCACAGGTAATGAGGTAATTTATTTGAATTGACAGTATGCTATGTATTATCAGTGATACTTCTTAAAGGTTTGGGAAAACTACACTCTGCTATCCCTTGATCATTTTAGGTTTGGGTTCGATACTGTTTGCCATCACAGTTGACAAGCCAGAGTTGAATGGGGGGCATGCAGCATCTATTTTAGTCAGCGCCAAAAGTATCATTGACGTAGGGAAGGATACAGGCAAAGGGGAGGAACCTACACCAGTCATTTCAGAATGTATGTCAACAGACCATGGCAGTAAGTTCCCTTGATGGACTTTATTCTCATTTGATTAAAGTGAGATGTCTGTGTCTGTTTTTGTGTGTCTGTTGTCTAGATGAATGTTATTCATATTTGATTTAAGTGAGCTGTATGTGTCTGTTTTCTAGTGTCTTTTTCATGATGAATTTTATTCTCTTATTAGATCAAAATGAGATGTATGTATCTGTTTTCTTGTGTCTGTTTTCTTGATGAATTTTATTCTCTTATTTTATTAAAGTGAAATGTCTGTGTCTGTTTTCTTGTGTCTGTTTGGTGCTGAAAGAGTACTCCCTGGTTTTTAGGTTTAATTAAGTTAAGGAAATGTCATTACTTTAGACACCCTTTTTGTTACTCTAATTAAGTTTAGAAACTGCATTATTTTTAATACTTTTTTTTCTTCTGTTTTTCCAAGTTTAGGAACTTTCATTAATTTAAAAAGGAGAATAATGCTGTTGTTGATAGCTGAGTATATGATGACACTATTTTTTTTTATTGCAGGTAAGAAAAAGGAGAAAAGGAAAAAGAAGAAAGTGACGAATGTTGTGGTCTTTGATGAGGACAGCACTACAGGAACTGTGGTGCGAAAAAGCAGCCTACTTGACAGTTTTGGGCCACCTTACTTTACAAAACAACATCCTGTTGGAGAAACACGAGGGCATGGTTTGTTCTCACACATTGCCAGATTTAAGTCTTGTCTTTCCTTCTTGCACTAGGGTTATGCTGGTTGATAACCGTGTCACTCTGGTGATCTAGGGGGGAAAAAACAATACTAGTGACTCATATTTAGGGAATTCTCCCAGAAAAATCCTTTACAAAAATAGAATTTAAAAAAAAGAAGCTTTTTACACAAGTCACAAAAAAACATAACAGTTACATTTATAGACCAAAAAAATATCAAATTCCTTATAGAATACTGGGGGTCATCGGTAAACGAGATTTCAGCAGTGCATTAAATTGTTCACATCTCTGTAGATCTAAAAATAAATGTTTAGTGAGTTTGGGAATTATAGTGATTCATTTTTTACCCTGTGACATCTCGCAGAGTAACACAGCGACTAATAGGAGAATTATGACATCCTAATTTCTGTTGATAAAGACATTTTTTCACAGAAGCTTTGTGGTACAGAGAAAAGAAACTGCATTGCCTTGGGTCGGGATTCCCATTCCTCCCTGTAGCATAATGTAACTATCATCCGGACAGGTGCCAACAGCAGCAGCAAGTCTAGGCTTCCCAGACAGTCCATTTAACACACAAGCACAACAGCGAAGATTCAGGTTCTGAGGCAACTATTGATCAGTCAGTCAGTCTGTCCCCTCTGGGATTCTACCTAATGGTTTACCATACCATCCTGAGTTTTAACAATCTTAATCTGGATGGCAAACCAACAAGGCAGATCCAAGATACCCTGTTCAATCTCCAGAGATGTTGTCATTAGGTCACCTTTGATGGTTACACCAGACAGCCTGTGGGGACAAAACCAGTAGTATTGTCGAGCAGTTGCTTATGCATTGCATTTATATTACGCTGTTTGTGTTCACAGGGGATGGCACACCAGGTGACAGAATGCTTGAATCAGAAGCTGTAGTTCATGGTGGCTCTGAGTCCAGCGGAGACCCTGTGCTGTCGGCATTAATTCGTATTTCCAACCAGGTCAGCTCGGCTTCCATGGGAACAGAGAGCCCTAGCAAACAGCCTGGTATTGGGTTACCAGGAGCAGATCGTGACTCCAGGTTGGCTTGTGTTGTTATGTTTTTTTGAGGTTGTTTAATTACAGTTGCTGCTAACTAGTCTGAGTTGTCTTAGTTTGTGCAGTCTTAGTCCGTGCTGTCTTAGTCCATGCTGTCTTAGTCCATGCTGTCTTAGTCCATGCTGTCTTAGTCCGTGCTGTCTTAGTCCATGCTGTCTTAGTCCATGCTGTCTTAGTCCGTGCTGTCTTAGTCCGTGCTGTCTTAGTCCGTGCTGTCTTAGTCCATGCTGTCTTAGTCCGTGCTGTCTTAGTCCGTGCTGTCTTAGTCCATGCTGTCTTAGTCCATGCTGTCTTAGTCCGTGCTGTCTTAGTCCGTGCTGTCTTAGTCCATGCTGTCTTAGTCCGTGCTGTCTTAGTCCATGCTGTCTTAGTCCATGCTGTCTTAGTCCGTGCTGTCTTAGTCCGTGCTGTCTTAGTCCATGCTGTCTTAGTCCATGCTGTCTTAGTCCGTGCTGTCTTAGTCCATGCTGTCTTCTTGATGGTTGCATTCACGTGCTTGTTCCGGGTCCCATTGTGGGGCTGGTGGGGGGAGTAGACTCACTGCCTTCCTAACAGGCATGTCGTAAGAGTTAACTAAATAGGGGTTACCTTCAAAATTGGAGTGCGTCTGCCTGAGAGACAAGGAACCAACAGTCTGCATCTTCTTCTCCTTCACTTCCTATTTTACCGCTGTGGGTGTCGAGGGAAATATAAGGTTCTGTTTCTAGAGTCTGCATCAAATGAGCCAAATGTTTAAAGGGGAAGTGCACACACATTCAAAACTCAAGTTCCGGCACAAGACTAAAGTCCAGAAGTGGATGAACAATCAGAACTTTCCATCCAGCTATAGCTGATACCTAAATATATTCTTAATCATCATTGATGTTACCATCTACAGAATAATGATGACCCCTGTGGGATGTGATGGTGTCATCATGGGCTCTGATTTGATTCCAGTTTCCGATACATCATCAGCACACTTGTGGTCTCCAGGTGTAAGGGAAGCTACAGCCTTCAGTAGGCAGCAGACAGGCGATACATCATCAGGTGGACTGATTGCCCAGCACAGTCTTCCTAGCAGGTTATTAATCTCATTCTATATCAGTGTTCTCTAACAGTCTTCTATAGTGTATGAGGTAACATCAGTGTTCTCTAACAGTCTTCTATAGTGTATGAGGTAACATCAGTCTTCTCTAACAGTCTTCTATAGTGTATGAGGTAACATCAGTCTTCTCTAACAGTCTTCTATAGTGTATGAGGTAACATCAGTGTTCTCTAACAGTCTTCTATAGTGTATGAGGTAACATCAGTCTTCTCTAACAGTCTTCTATAGTGTATGAGGTAACATCAGTGTTCTCTAACAGTCTTCTATAGTGTATGAGGTAACATCAGTGTTCTCTAACAGTCTTCTATAGTGTATGAGGTAACATCAGTGTTCTCTAACAGTCTTCTATAGTGTATGAGGTAATATCTGTGTTCTCTAACAGTCTTCTATAGTGTATGAGGTAACATCAGTGTTCTCTTACAGTCTACTATAGTGTATGAGGTAACATCTGTCTTCTCTAACAGTCTTCTATAGTGTATGAGGTAACATCAGTGTTCTCTAACAGTCTACTATAGTGTATGAGGTAACATCTGTCTTCTCTAACAGTCTTCTATAGTGTATGAGGTAACATCAGTGTTCTCTAACAGTCTTCTATAGTGTATGAGGTAACATCTGTCTTCTCTAACAGTCTTCTATAGTGTATGAGGTAACATCTGTCTTCTCTAACAGTCTTCTATAGTGTATGAGGTAACATCAGTGTTCTCTAACAGTCTTCTATAGTGTATGAGGTAACATCTGTCTTCTCTAACAGTCTTCTATAGTGTATGAGGTAACATCAGTGTTCTCTAACAGTCTTCTATAGTGTATGAGGTAACATCAGTGTTCTCTAACAGTCTTCTATAGTGTATGAGGTAACATCAGTGTTCTCTAACAGTCTTCTATAGTGTATGAGGTAACATCAGTGTTCTCTAACAGTCTACTATAGTGTATGAGGTAACATCAGTGTTCTCTAACAGTCTTCTATAGTGTATGAGGTAACATCTGTCTTCTCTAACAGTCTTCTATAGTGTATGAGGTAACATCTGTCTTCTCTAACAGTCTTCTATAGTGTATGAGGTAACATCTGTGTTCTCTAACAGTCTTCTATAGTGTATGAGGTAACATCAGTGTTCTCTAACAGTCTTCTATAGTGTATGAGGTAACATCAGTGTTCTCTAACAGTCTACTATAGTGTATGAGGTAACATCTGTCTTCTCTAACAGTCTTCTATAGTGTATGAGGTAACATCAGTGTTCTCTAACAGTCTACTATAGTGTATGAGGTAACATCTGTCTTCTCTAACAGTCTTCTATAGTGTATGAGGTAACATCAGTGTTCTCTAACAGTCTTCTATAGTGTATGAGGTAACATCTGTCTTCTCTAACAGTCTTCTATAGTGTATGAGGTAACATCAGTGTTCTCTAACAGTCTTCTATAGTGTATGAGGTAACATCAGTGTTCTCTAACAGTCTTCTATAGTGTATGAGGTAACATCTGTGTTCTCTAACAGTCTTCTATAGTGTATGAGGTAACATCTGTGTTCTCTAACAGTCTTCTATAGTGTATGAGGTAACATCAGTGTTCTCTAACAGTCTTCTATAGTGTATGAGGTAACATCTGTCTTCTCTAACAGTCTTCTATAGTGTATGAGGTAACATCTGTGTTCTCTAACAGTCTTCTATAGTGTATGAGGTAACATCTGTCTTCTCTAACAGTCTTCTATAGTGTATGAGGTAACATCTGTGTTCTCTAACAGTCTTCTATAGTGTATGAGGTAACATCTGTGTTCTCTAACAGTCTTCTATAGTGTATGAGGTAACATCTGTGTTCTCTAACAGTCTTCTATAGTGTATGAGGTAACATCTGTGTTCTCTAACAGTCTTCTATAGTGTATGAGGTAACATCTGTCTTCTCTAACAGTCTTCTATAGTGTATGAGGTAACATCTGTCTTCTCTAACAGTCTTCTATAGTGTATGAGGTAACATAAGTCTTCTCTAACAGTCTTCTATAGTGTATGCGGTAACATCTGTCTTCTCTAACAGTCTTCTATAGTGTATGAGGTAACATCAGTCTTCTCTAACAGTCTTCTATAGTGTATGAGGTAACATCTGTGTTCTCTAACAGTCTTTTCTAGTGTATGAGGTAACATCTGTGTTCTCTAACAGTCTTCTATAGTGTATGAGGTAACATAAGTCTTCTCTAACAGTCTTCTATAGTGTATGAGGTAACATCTGTCTTCTCTAACAGTCTTCTATAGTGTATGAGGTAACATCTGTCTTCTCTAACAGTCTTCTATAGTGTATGAGGTAACATCTGTGTTCTCTAACAGTCTTCTATAGTGTATGAGGTAACATCTGTGTTCTCTAACAGTCTTCTATAGTGTATGAGGTAACATCTGTGTTCTCTAACAGTCTTCTATAGTGTATGAGGTAACATCAGTGTTCTCTAACAGTCTTCTATAGTGTATGAGGTAACATCTGTCTTCTCTAACAGTCTTCTATAGTGTATGAGGTAACATCTGTGTTCTCTAACAGTCTTCTATAGTGTATGAGGTAACATCTGTCTTCTCTAACAGTCTTCTATAGTGTATGAGGTAACATCAGTCTTCTCTAACAGTCTTCTATAGTGTATGAGGTAACATCTGTCTTCTCTAACAGTCTTCTATAGTGTATGAGGTAACATCTGTCTTCTCTAACAGTCTTCTATAGTGTATGAGGTAACATCTGTGTTCTCTAACAGTCTTCTATAGTGTATGAGGTAACATCTGTCTTCTCTAACAGTCTTCTATAGTGTATGAGGTAACATCTGTGTTCTCTAACAGTCTTCTATAGTGTATGAGGTAACATCAGTCTTCTCTAACAGTCTTCTATAGTGTATGAGGTAACATCTGTCTTCTCTAACAGTCTACTATAGTGTATGAGGTAACATCTGTGTTCTCTAACAGTCTTCTATAGTGTATGAGGTAACATCTGTGTTCTCTAACAGTCTTCTATAGTGTATGAGGTAACATCTGTGTTCTCTAACAGTCTTCTATAGTGTATGAGGTAACATCAGTGTTCTCTAACAGTCTTCAATAGTGTATGAGGTAACATCTGTGTTCTCTAACAGTCTTCTATAGTGTATGAGGTAACATCTGTCTTCTCTAACAGTCTTCTATAGTGTATGAGGTAACATCAGTCTTCTCTAACAGTCTTCTATAGTGTATGAGGTAACATCTGTCTTCTCTAACAGTCTTCTATAGTGTATGAGGTAACATCAGTGTTCTCTAACAGTCTTCTATAGTGTATGAGGTAACATCAGTGTTCTCTAACAGTCTTCTATAGTGTATGAGGTAACATCAGTGTTCTCTAACAGTCTTCTATAGTGTATGAGGTAACATCAGTCTTCTCTAACAGTCTTCTATAGTGTATGAGGTAACATCTGTCTTCTCTAACAGTCTTCTATAGTGTATGAGGTAACATCAGTGTTCTCTAACAGTCTTCTATAGTGTATGAGGTAACATCAGTCTTCTCTAACAGTCTTCTATAGTGTATGAGGTAACACCTGTGTTCTCTAACAGTCTTCTATAGTGTATGAGGTAACATCAGTGTTCTCTAACAGTCTTCTATAGTGTATGAGGTAACATCTGTCTTCTCTAACAGTCTTCTATAGTGTATGAGGTAACATCAGTCTTCTCTAACAGTCTTCTATAGTGTATGAGGTAACATCTGTCTTCTCTAACAGTCTTCTATAGTGTATGAGGTAACATTCGTCTTCTCTAACAGTCTTCTATAGTGTATGAGGTAACATCTGTCTTCTCTAACAGTCTTCTATAGTGTATGAGGTAACATCTGTGTGTTCTCTAACAGTCTTCTATAGTGTATGAGGTAACATAAGTCTTCTCTAACAGTCTTCTATAGTGTATGAGGTAACATCTGTGTTCTCTAACAGTCTTCTATAGTGTATGAGGTAACATCTGTCTTCTCTAACAGTCTTCTATAGTGTATGAGGTAAACATCTGTGTTCTCTAACAGTCTTCTATAGTGTATGAGGTAACATCTGTGTTCTCTAACAGTCTTCTATAGTGTATGAGGTAACATCTGTGTTCTCTAACAGTCTTCTATAGTGTATGAGGTAACATCAGTGTTCTCTAACAGTCTTCTATAGTGTATGAGGTAACATCTGTCTTCTCTAACAGTCTTCTATAGTGTATGAGGTAACATCTGTGTTCTCTAACAGTCTTCTATAGTGTATGAGGTAACATCTGTCTTCTCTAACAGTCTTCTATAGTGTATGAGGTAACATCAGTCTTCTCTAACAGTCTTCTATAGTGTATGAGGTAACATCTGTCTTCTCTAACAGTCTTCTATAGTGTATGAGGTAACATCTGTGTTCTCTAACAGTCTTCTATAGTGTATGAGGTAACATCTGTGTTCTCTAACAGTCTTCTATAGTGTATGAGGTAACATCTGTCTTCTCTAACAGTCTTCTATAGTGTATGAGGTAACATCTGTGTTCTCTAACAGTCTTCTATAGTGTATGAGGTAACATCAGTCTTCTCTAACAGTCTTCTATAGTGTATGAGGTAACATCTGTCTTCTCTAACAGTCTACTATAGTGTATGAGGTAACATCTGTGTTCTCTAACAGTCTTCTATAGTGTATGAGGTAACATCTGTGTTCTCTAACAGTCTTCTATAGTGTATGAGGTAACATCTGTGTTCTCTAACAGTCTTCTATAGTGTATGAGGTAACATCAGTGTTCTCTAACAGTCTTCTATAGTGTATGAGGTAACATCTGTCTTCTCTAACAGTCTTCTATAGTGTATGAGGTAACATCTGTCTTCTCTAACAGTCTTCTATAGTGTATGAGGTAACATCAGTGTTCTCTAACAGTCTTCTATAGTGTATGAGGTAACATCAGTGTTCTCTAACAGTCTTCTATAGTGTATGAGGTAACATAAGTCTTCTCTAACAGTCTTCTATAGTGTATGAGGTAACATCTGTGTTCTCTAACA